AAAAAATACAGTTGTTACCGAACAGTATGTAAAATATCATGCTACAAATACAAATACCAATCAAATATTTATAAAAAACAAGTATTGTTTAGTGTGATAAATTTAAAGAACTAAATGTATTAAAGTAAAATTGCCAACATTACCTTTTCATTTCCACTCAATATAGTGTATTTTATATCAGTATGAGTGGAGTCCCCATCTTTAGCTTCAACGCTGCAGTTGAATTTTCCCGTTCTATTTTCATTGACATAACAAACATATTTTTCTGAAATAGTGATATGTTTTGTTACATTAAGTAAACATATATTACAAGATGAGTCGTTACAATACAATTATAATTGTCAATTTAGAAAAACAATGTACAGATAAAGGCTCACAGTGAGATTAAAAGGATAATAGGTTAATGCAAATTTTGAAGTTTAAAATATAACTCTTTTTTTATTCTTTGTTATGCAGAACGTTTTTACCTCAAATATTAACATTCATTATATTAATCACGTCACCTGCATGGAAAGCGATTTTTACCGAGACTTTCATCAGATACATTATTATGTTGGCAACAAAGATTAGAAACAAAAATAAGTTTATGCAACTTCACATTCCATATATGAAATAAAAAAAAAAACATAAGTCACTGAAGACTTCCACACATTTGCGAAGCCCACAAATGAGAGATAAAGCAGCAGTAATAACATATTTTAGATCCTGCATTGCGTTTTCTTAATTTCAAAAAATGGTTTGCTTATCGGATTAAGTATTACTTTTTAAGAAACTACCTTTTGTAAAAATTGGGCTGTTATCATTACAATCTTGCAGGTATAATGATAAAGTCGCCTTTACAGTGTGATTCGATCGTGTGTCTCTCTTCTTCAAGTCATCAGTTGCATATATCTACAAATCGGCGGGAAATATGTAAAATGTTGGCAAAGTTATATATAACTTAAAAACTTCCTTTAATCATCAAACAGACTACAGGAACATATGTTGTTTTTTGCGTCATGGTCTTAATCGGTTGGGGTTTAAGCCAAAAGAATGTTAAGGCCAAATGATTACTTTCAAGCTTTACTATAGATATTAAATCCATCGTGCATTATATCAGAGACCTGAGTAGAACTGCATACGTCCCGAAAGATTGCTAGATATCTTCCTCAGAAAATAGCACAGAATGTATATTGAGAAATGGAAATCCTGGTATTTTAGTGCAAACTCCGAATAAAGTGTTTTAACCTCTGGGGCTGGTTTCGTTATTATGAATCATTTTCTAAGATATAAAACTTACAGTGAAATTTAATACCGTTAGACTACTCGGAAAATCGACGTCAAGTTTGCCAATGACAGATACATTTCCTGTTCTTGGATCAATGTCAATTTTATCAACAAAGTCTTCAGTCCAATAAGTGACGGTATTGTATTCTTCAGAGGAATCTGCATCTGTAGCTATGACTCTAAAACAGGTTTACAAAGCTTGATAAAAACAAGTCTACAACACATGACAAATACTCATCATTATAACGAGGTACTCATCTAAAGGATTCATTATGACTTATATGTATTTGTTTTCCAAACATGTATCAAGTTTGAAATGAAAACAAAACATTCTCGCCATCTATCTTTCATGAATGTTTGTTGTTGCTGTTGTTGTTGTAAATATAATGCTTGCTAATTTTTGGGATATTAGAGTTGATACTCTGGTAATATCTTAACATGCGACGCAAAACAAAGCATATCCGGGGCCAGTTTAAATGGCTTGTGCAACACAGCATTTGCATTTACATTAAAATAATTTTATTTCAAAGCAAACCCCAAACCAAAAAGGATATATTTAGTTTTAAACATACTCATATTTATTCAAGCCCGATTGCAAAACAAGTTCTTGCAACCCATATCAATCACTTTCATGTCCGCTTCATAGCACTAACCAGTACTAATGGCATATGAGGAAACGTGGTTAAGACACGAATAGGGCTGGATCCCGTGATCCTTTGACCGAGAGGTTGGCGCCTTAACCACGTGGCCACCACCTTATGTTGGAATTAAGTTTTAAAAAACTGCTGAATTGACATTGGAGTTTGTACTTTTGACTAAGTGGAACTGTAATTTGGTTTATGTTCCAATCTTTAGATGTTAAATACAAATGTTAGAGTGCCTGCTGCCTGTCAAGCCAGGAACAAGGGTTTCAGGCTTTTCGATCTACGATATGTCTTCACAATTTTATTTCATGTAGAATATTGGACTCAAGTGCTTGATTTCATGTAACTATGCTGTTTTAATGTTTCTAAGTGATTTTCTCAAGATATTTATACATCACAACGGCTGGTGTCAAGTGCTGTGTGGTCGCCGTAAAAATGTCCCGTACTTCACTTCAGTGTTGTTATATTTTCCTGGACCTTCGATATAATTGCGTCCAGCACTTTTAATAGTCTAGAGTTGGGTACCGCTCAAGCCGGTGCTAGGGGGGCATGAGGAATGTTGCACGTTTTCATTACTCCTCATGTACAGACGCAAACGACCGAGTCTGCAATTGTCATGTAACGTTGCTGTGTTAAACACTTCCAAGGGATCACTTTTATCCAGATATTTAAACAAGAGCATAACCATCCCCGTAAAATGTGTATGCTTATTGGACAGCAGAATTTTTCATTAAAAAAATGTTCAAAATTGATTGAATGTGTCCTTGATAACAATACTAACCATAGAAGATTATTACAAATGACACTATACCTACAATTATTGGTATTGCTAATTTAAAATTGCCATCTATTCAAATTTCAATTATCATATCTATGTCTTTGATATATTTTAATAATGATTTGGACAAAGAAGAATTAGAAATTAGATAAAAGGAAATGACTGAAATACAGACATTATATTTTTCTGACTACTCCGTTTTATTTGTTCCGGTTTTTATATTTATATGTGTATATTGCATACATTTCTAGGCAGACAAAACCTTATATAGTCCTACAGTTGTCCGGCAGACAGAAAAACAATTAAAAAATAAACAATGGAAGATACGTAAAACAAATAAAGATGCAAAATATAATTCAATGCACAATTCCTTATCATTTTCTGTTTATATTCGAACGTCAAGTCAATCTCAAGTTTATTTTTTAGTGTAATGCTCTTGGCAAAAAAGAAGCTAACTAATTGAGGGAATTAAAAAGAAGATAATGCCAACATTGAACCATTGCTCTTCCCATCCGCTGAATATACACTTCAACGAATTTCTAACTGCCTCCACTTTATATGCTATTATGAGGTATTTCTGTTTAAATTAATTAAAAGTTTGCTTATTTCAGTATTGTATACTCTAGTTTATTTTTTTTTAATATATACATTTTTTTTGGGGGGGGGGGGCGGCACATTTTAAAATACTAGTAGTTTATGCGTACCTGGCATAGTGTATGTCGTGTTTGATGAAAAGTGTTTTTGTTTTTTTTAGATAAATTTTATAAAGTATTCAAATGAAAGCATTACAAGTCAGTGCGTATCTTTTTTTCTTATCTAACTTATATAGTACTGCTGTTTTGTATATTATATGTTGCGTTAAATGGTTTATTTTATGTACATGTATGATTTATATAAATTATGTAATCATATTTTGTATATTGCTGGTAGTGTTAAGTGATTCTCTGTTTATGTCCTAAAGTGAAGCAAAAATAACACTATTAGTTTTTCCTATCATATCTGTCCGTGTATATATGTACTAGGGCCTTGTTATGCACAAGTATTATCGTCACGCTTATGTCTGGTGTCTCAATCTTTACTTGTCATCTCTAAATTATTATCGCCTGAGTGTGTTTTATTCTATTTAAGCATTTGTTGTGTCTCTCTTTGTATTTCATTTTTATTCATTTTTTGTTTGTTTTTTATTGTTTTATGTTCTAGTTTTTATAATTGAATAGTTTGGTGTCTGTCACGGTTGTTTCAATGTAGTCTTCACTTATGAAAGTATAGAGATTGTTATGCTGCCGAGTAGCGCAGTTCTGGTTTATGCCGGTAAATTCGTATTCAAGACCCTGCGTAACTGGTACTAAATAATTCGGTCTTAGCTTATCTGCTATTTATCCTCAGTGATAAATCACCTTCCATTTTTTGTTATCATATTATACATACATGTTCTATTTGATGCATTACTCTGCCGTAATTTAATAATTTTCTTGTGATATACATAGTGTACCCTTCTGGTTTATACTATTATACACAACAAAATTACAAGAGATATTGCTGTATCTCTGTGTATTGAGTTCTGTTACATAGTGGTGTTATTAATTTTTGATATATTTTCAGTGAGTATTATTAGAGTACACATAGATCTGTATATTCAGTAAGTTTATCGTGTTCTTCTATGTCTTATTATGATTCCTGGTTGTCTCCTATAATTGGATCTAGATGTGTGTTATCTCATGTATGGTTATATTGATCGTCCAATTTAATTATATCTCTATTGTTATCTAATATTATCTATATTGTTAAACGTGTACTTATTTTTTATTACTCTATCTTGTCATACTATGTGTTGTTTGTTGTCTTATCTCTATATTATTATATCTAATATCTTGAATATTTGTAAAATTATTATTTATAATGTTATGATTATATCATGTATCGGTGTACTATTTCCTCTATGTTTTGTCTATCTTGTATCTGCGGTTTGTTTTATGGAATGTATATGTGTTAACTTATATTCTTGATATATATTTTATATTCGGTAATGCTCCGACTAGCATCATTAATATGCAAATCTAGCAACATGTATTCTTATCATGGTATTACTTTAATATCGAGTATATGTAAATCTAACATTCGATCATAAATTTCATAAACATATTTGTCAGGTGTTGTAGTATTACCTTGTATATGTTACCACAGATTATTCCGTACATTCAGACAAATTTCCTGTGACATTGGCATTATTTTTCAAAAACTCGTATATTATTGTTGATATCTCTGAAAATATGATTTGGTATAAACATTAGAAAGAGAAAAATATATAGTGTATATTTTCTTTTTAGCAATGATTATATTGCCTATCTATTTAAAGGAGAAAAATATAACGTTTATATGCACAGCAAAATGAAAGAATGTATACAGCCATGAAGTAATACAATAGCTCATCGTGTCTTTGCAAGTTAATGAATGTTTTTAAAATTAATTTAAGACAGAAATGAATGTATCCACGCCTAACTCTTAAAGAAGCGATAGTTCACAGTTATGTGACAAACATATGTATAAAACAGCAGGGTTTTTTTTAACAAATATTTATTAATTTATTTTATTTTATTTTCTTGGTCACTTACTATAATTATTGAAACCAAATACTAATTGTGTTGACAATAATGCGTGAGATTTTTAGTGATTTATTTTAAATAATCTTATTAGTTTGATGAAACTTAAAAAAGTTAAATTTAAAAGAAATGGTATTGTATTTACCTCAATAAAGATGTTTATGGTTTGTTTACTTAACTGAATATGGTGTATCTTTTCTTCATTGTATAGCTTCGATATGACTTTAATGTTATCCCCTTTCCTGTTCCTTTCTAACTTGTCTCATTTAATTATTGTACTTGTGTTTGAGACATAAATATGTGTTGTTTGTTGTATTTCCAATATCATTGTAATTATTTGATCGGATAAATATTGTCGGATTCCTCTTTCGTCTAATATTCTTATCTTATTCGTCAAATTATTATAGTATTTGGTCTGTATAATATAAACTAAACAATTTCAATTGCTAATATGGTTTCTACTAATCATGTGCTAGGGTGTTTATGTGTTGTGTTGGTAGTTGTAAATATATTACACCGTCTATTCTTCAGTGCATAATATTGTACAATCTATTTATCATCAGATTTGCTAGTGTATCATCGTGGCTTTACCATGTTTCATAAAATTTTCCTATTCAACATTGTTGGTCCTATAGCAGCAAGTTTTATTTCTTTTCTTTTTTATTATTATTTTTTATTATTTTTGTTGTTTGTTTTTTTAATTGACTCATTTCAATTTTGTATCGTCATAATGAAAACATAAAAATGGTCAGCCAACAGTATAGCGCCTTTCAGACTACATGGACGTGTAGTCTGAAGTGTCTCTATACAGTCGGCAAAGGCTAATTACTTTTAATTTCAGCAAGTTAAGTATTAAAGGGACATTATGCTCAAGTTCGACTGAATTAGTAATATATTTATATCTTTCAAACGGTTGGCTTCATTATGGCGATTGATTAATAATTGTGATGAAAAATGTTTAAGATACAATAGACTACCCTTTTAATTTGAAACATTCAACACTACCGATACATTCTGAACGATATTTATAGAAATGCAAACTAGTCATGTAACTTATTCACGTTAATTATTGACTATTTTTGCATAGTTAAATATAGAATGGAGCACAATTACTGCAAAATGTATTTAGTCATTTTGAGTTTTACCTGCGCACCATTAATTTACACTTGGATGGGCACAATGTCACTTCACTATTAGAGTGGAATAATCTTTATAATTTTTACATTTAATAGCAGGTGAGAGACATTTTCAGAAACAGGACTTTATATACTTAAAGGAGGCATTATTAACATATAACTACATGCAAAGGTAAACAACTAAACACGAGTTATATATTTATAAATAATATTACATTCATTCCTTACCTTCGACTGATAGATTGACGGGTATAATTGTAGATTTTCTTTCAAGATGACAGATACATTCTTTTCATTGTCAGGAAATTCCGGTTTATTGTCGTTTGTACCATTAACAATAAGTGTAATGTATGCAATTCCCGACCGACTTGGGTGTCCATTGTCAGTAGCCTCAATAGCAAACATTAACTTATTGTTTTTACCCATAATATCTCTGTCTATTCCTCCAACGTGAACCTTTCCTTCATTTGTTACAGACACATTCTTGGTCCTTGAAAATGTCATAAATTTTTGTACAATATCGTTATACTCAAAGCTTATGACGTTTTTCTTTTGTTGTTGTTGTTTCATTTATGCGTACTTGCGTGCGTGTGTTCGTTTTGTGTTATTTTTTGCTGGTCCATTAAATTAAAATAAAATGTTTGTAGAATATGAAATTTGATTTGATAACATTTATATGAACATTTCAATAGACTTTATATACATATAGAAAAACAAAACTAATATTTGTAATAGAAACCAAAACATTTTTTAAAGATAAATACCAAATCCAATTATCTGGTACAAGCAAGGAATACTTTGCAATATGTCCGTCTTCACCAACGTCTTGGTCATGTGCCTATAAAAGCAGAAGTTGAAAGGCAAATGAAAACTTAAAATCAAGATTTTCCAATTGTGTGATGAGTTTGTTCATATTATCTCAATAGAAAAACGTTATACAAAGATACTTTTACAAATAAAAACTGTGTAATTCAAGTGTCGTGAAGTGATATAGGTACAGGTATATCTCAATTTAACATTACAATTTTATGAACCGTAATAAAATATTACCGTTATGTTCCATACTGCATTTTTATTCTCGAGAACACTGAAGTTATAATTCACGTGTTCAAATTGAGGTGAGAACTCATTGACTTTTTCAATTTTGATGATAACGTCTGCGTATGAAACATGTATGGTGTCGTTTACAAATATTGTAGCACTAATTGGATTAGTCAAATTGTTTCCGTCCAGATCAAGTGACTTTGCAAGTGTAAGAACACCCTCATTGTTTATTTTAAAGTCTGGAATAGAGATAAAGAATAATTAAGTAATGTCAGCAGTCAATTTTTTAACTTGATATTAATGAGTGTTTGAAATTCATATTACAAATTATTTGAACCAAGGTATGATATGTTAAAAACCAGAAATAAGGCCCATTGTATGGAATGTTAAAAGACTCTGGAAAACTGTCCACATCATACAAGTGTTAGATATAATATATCTATTGCATGTTTCAATTATTTTGCCAACATGAGCGATTGCATGACTGTAATTTAAACAATCTTTATATTAAATCTGTTTTATGTTTTCGATTTATATCACAAATATTTATTGCAAAGCATTTTTACAACAATTTGCTGAAATACAGTATTCGAATTGGAATAAAATTGTCCTTCACAATTGAAGCCGAGTATAACACTGATTTCCTCGAGGATTTTTACCGCCTTAAACCACATGACCAACCGCTGATCACGTGATATACGGATCAGTGCTCGCACACCAGTTTATGTGCGATATAACGTTCAGGCATACGTTCTTTGGCTATACTACGTTACTCGCAAAACTAAGTCAACCTGTTGCGCTTATTTCTGATGCTGAAGCTGTTAAAGTTTGTTTGTATTTTAGTGGTAAGATTGTTGAGGGTATGAAAATGTGTTTTCGGGTCCAATTTGCCATTGTGCAATTTAGTAGTTTTACTTCTCGGATGTTTTATACTTTGTCACGTGAGTGCTCATTTCTCATTTTTAACCTATTATCGTGACATTGTTTCATTTAAATCAATTAAATGTTTGCACAGCTTAAATTTCAACTATATTAAAGGTAAATAGAATGGATGTATTTGTATTTTTAACAGCCATCAATCAGATCTGAATATTATTTTTGCTCATTTTTAATGAAGTCCGTTTAATTTTTAAAATCTTTCACAATGTTTTCAAATTTTTATCTACTTTCTTCCATTGCTATTTATTAAGCCCTTTGTTGAATTTGGTTTGTAAAAGATTCAAAAGATAAAAAGTAGGCTTTTATATGTCTATAATTTAAATCGTAAAGCTAAAGTACACGTATGTGTTATGAATATTTTCTGATATTTTTACGTGTCAAATAAATAATATAAAGGTAATTTTGCTCATACTTACAATCTTGTGCGTCATTCGTACAACCGAAAGTAAGTATACTGTTTGTGTCTTTATCAAATGCCGATACATAACCAAAACGGCTACCAGGCAATTCATTTTCCCGTAAACTATATGTATATGTTTTGTTTGTAAAAACTGGGCTTACATCATTCTGGTCTTCAATAATAACCCTTACTAAAGAACTGAAAACATAAGAAGAAGCAATATTTTTAATTGATTCAACCAAATATCACACAGCATAAGTTTACATAGCATTTTTACTATTTTATAGGATGTTTTCCTCAATGATGACAATAATTAAAACACATGGCCAATTTGAGACTGTCCGGACCAAAAATACTGAAACACAGGACCAATACGAGTTATAAATCTCCCGATTTCAAACAGTTTTGATTGAACGTCTAAATACAGACCTTTAACTTTACATGTTTTAAGATCAGTAAATGACTAAGTGCAACTGGTGTTTATACTATCATTACATCGATAAGGTGAACTTTGCTTTGTCAATTGTCCTTGGATGTTGGATTGGCGTTCGGCAGTTATGCAAATATTCCTGGATGAGTAATTAAGCAACTATGAAACTAGAATTGTGTCCATAGGACACGAGTATCCAATATTTTACAGTTTTGTCAGAGCACGAAAGAACAGAGTGGCAGCGGAACGAACAAACAAACGCAAATTTATGTACCCCACCCACAAGTTGGGGCATAAAATCCTAATTTTTGCTGAACCAAAATAGTAAAACTCCTCAGATCATCCATTCAAAATACGCCTGGTAATTTATAATCAACTTTTCTTTGCTTTTTTAAAACTTGCTTTAGTTATAAGGAGCGACATAAAAAAGTAATTAGTGAAAATTTATTCGAAATAGGAAAAAACAGCACTATACTATAACACAAAAATATCATGTCAGAAATACATATCAAATCGATATAGGATAAACAATTTTTATAGTATACATTACATGTGGAGAAACAAGCAAAAAATTACTATATCAATAATTATGTATTTACTATAACGATATTTAAAAGCAAAGATAATTGCGTCTATTCATTGAACAAACCTGGAACTTGCAGAAGGCTTCTCTATATTATATGCCGACACTATTACCAAAATCTCTTGTTCCGTCTCGTAATCCAAAGCTTTTGTAACACCTATTGTTCCATTTTTACCGGTCTGATCTATATTGAAACGCTGAAATAATCATGTTTTTAAAATGTATTTTACTATAATACAAGGTACATGCTTTGCTATTTTCCTATTTTGATGAATGTTGTATGATGATAAAACAGTGATTTGTATTTTCAGATAATAATCATGTTAATCAATAACAATATCTTCAAATCGAAGAAACCAGTGTGTGAGCAACGCAAAGGCGGGGCAATTTACGCCAGACTGAAAGTTGGTTTCCAAGGCGGCGCCCCACTGTGTTCCTCAGATGTATGTCTTATGTTGTTTCATACTGTTTTGGTGACACTTTTGCTTGTGTCCCTTGTTGTTTTCTCGTCTACGGTAAGTATCTTCCCCATTGCCTCTAGTTTTTATTTCTTTGATTACTCCCCACCCCCTCCCCCCCCGGTCTCCTGTCCCCTTCCCCTTTGTGGGCCTATTTTTATTTTCTTTGAATTCCTAATCAGTTACAAATTAATTATCATTTAATGATTAACCTGTCCGTGCTCTGTCTTTGCCCTGTCCTGTTTTTGTTTGGGGTCCCCCTGGGCTCCTTGCCATTGGTTCTTGTTGCTGGGTCATGTGGGGGTTGCGTTCATTGAACGCCACCTTTCCTTGTTGATCTTGTTTATCATATTTTTTGAGTAATAAAAAAAATCTTAAATAAGCGAATAGGCCCAATTATGAAACTTGTCCGAAAAATGTTTTTATCTTTTTTATGCTTATGCCCAAGAGTAGTGACATTGCTTTACCCTACGTGCGATTCATAAACTTCTGTAAGGCTCCTACCCTATGCATGCACAAGCCAATATAAAAGACTGCGGGTTATGTTTTCCACAAAATAAAAGAGCGTTTCCTATACAGAGTCTCTCAGGGATATCCAATTTGGTTATGAATTACGATATAACTATTCGGAAAGAAGAAACAATTTGATTATTTAACATTGGAAGAGATCTACTTAGCAATGTAGCATGTCAAATATCTCTAGTAGGCTTCAACACAATATGAATTAATTGTGTTTTTCTATATATATATAAGTCTATATAAATTAAGTTACCAGCGGGGCAAGCCCAAACAAAGCCGAACAAAGTGACCTTATTAATGTCAGTTCTGTGGAAGTCAACACGACAATGCTTTGCACGCCGAATATCTAAGCTCTGTACATTTGAAGTTCAAACAATTAGACTGTTTTCGCCCTATTTAGGGCTATATGAAATAAGTGACCACTGAGGCGGGCCAATAATGGCACAAAGGGCATGATTTATATCAATACTGTAAAGATCCATTTTACTTTGCTACAAACCAACTATCTAAACTCGGTGCATTTTAAATTTACACAATAAGACTGAAATGAATGTGGTTTTCTATTACAAGTAACTATAAAAAAACTGACCACAATACGAGTCAAAATTTGATGTGAAGAAGTCAAAACAGGCATTTTGCAAATCGTCTTATTATAAATAGCATTTCTCCCCAAATATTTTACATTTTCCTCTAGCGATTTAAATTATACAAAGCGGGCACGAAATTTTGAAATTTATACATAATGACTAAGTGTGACCTTGACCTTGGCCGGAGGAAGAATAAACCTACTCTCTATATATCGTTCTCATTGTGCCGATTAGTTTCAATTACCTTCCATCGGTTCACAGGTTTTCAGTCGTATAAAAACGATATATAGTAAATTGATGGCAAAATTTTTAAGACTTGCTTCATTGAATAACGGAATCATGTCATAACATTATTTTCTGTTAATAATGCCTGAAAAATTTACCTTTATCAATCACCCTCATTTTTAACAAACACCTAATCAATACATATCTAAATAAATTGAAAAGACTGAAATATTTTTAACTCTTTTAAAATTGTTTGAAAAAAAATAAACTTATGAACTTTAAATCGAATAGAATTTTTTTTAATTTTAGAGTCAGTCTCTCTTACATAATACAAAAACATTTCGGACTATTTATTATAGATATGAACTTGAAATATTACTGTCGCGCGGGATTTTGTTGTAATATAGAAACGCATACTAAAATTGTAGACATGATAAAGGATATATTACAAAAAAGCACAGCCTCGCCCTTCTTTTTTCTTACCCTTACCCGATATATTTTGTAATGCCACTTTCTCTATATATTGGCATCATGTAGTATTCATGAAAAATTCTTTATAATGTTTTATTTCTTTTCAATTGCTGTTAGTTATACACGTACTTTACTTTAAATAGCGACAATATATAAAAAGCAAATACGTTTTTGTTAAAATAATAATAATCTTTAGTGAAACTTTTGAATTGTCAGAAAAGCGCTATACTTACTGAATCATTTACAGAGATTTTTAAGGAAATGTCTGAACAGTCTAAGAAGCCAATCACATAACTTGTGTTATAGGTAGAATTTTCTTTTACCATGATTGTATAATAATCTGAAATTTTTCAGGAAAACATGTCTTTAAAGTATAATGTAATACAAAACCTTTTATCTACGTATCTATATGCGAGTGTACGTGCGTGCATGTGTGTATTTATACGTGCGTGCGTGTGCGTACGTGCGTGTGTGTGTGACTTCCTGATTGATTTTACAACTTGCTAAGAAGATTTTACAACTTGGTAAGTCTTAGAGCAAAGACCCACATTTGTGTGTTTCTCTTTTTACCTATTTTGCTTTAGTTGTTAATATATTTACAAAAACAATTATATGGTATACGATAATGGGATAGTATTATAATGATATAAAATTCAAGATTCAAAAGTTACATAAATAGACTAACGAAATTAAAATATAAATATTTTTTCATTTTTCCCACTCACACAGAATGCCCATTTTAACAAAATGTCCATGTTCTAAGCCGTTTCTTCATGCTACTGCTTTTTATGGCGAGGTCATTATGTTAATAATTCCATAGAACAATAGATAAACTCGTAAAAGATATAAATTACAAATGAATGATTGTCATTAAAACATTTGTAACTTAATGCACACAGGCACATGAAGGGTACAGTTTCACTCCTCTGGTGATTTCAGTATATTTCACTTCATAGTGTCCTTTGAAACTCACAACGACATAATTTATCAGAGAAGGGCTTAAGTTGATATCACAAAAATCATTCACGTCCAATATTATTCAAAAAAGTGTAACATTCAACGGTACACGATGTAAATGATGTGCACTTTATCACCAGATTAATCTTTTGTTATATATATATTGACTGACGTAACTGATAGATGAAAAGCGCTTCCCAAAGTCTACACATTGTTTTGTAAACAACTTTCTATAGACTGAAGGGGTTCAAGTAAGGTCAAATGAGATTAAACCCACGGTCTCTACCTACCGTTCGCTTCCTTTTAAGTTCTTACATGTTGACATTGCACTTTATAAACACTGGGAAGGGCTTAATCTAATGTTGCAAGAACTTGCTGTCCAACTTATTTGCTTATTGTTATATACTTATCAATTTTGTAATATTTGACATGTACGAGGGTTGTTCAAAAGCTATAGGACTGAGAATCTCGCATATTCATATTTCATCCAATTTAGAATATATTTATATGTACAGGGATCGTAGTATTTGTTCCAAAATTTATTTAAATATACGTTTATTAATTGTTGCGATGAATGCGTGTTTCTTGTGATATTTAATAACTATGCTAACACACACCCGGCGCAGCACATAAAAATAGTAATTGTAGCTAAGTTGTACTTCTAATTTATTCACAATTTATACTTTGTTTGTCCATATATTCCACCAACACATTTGTTTATATTTAAATGACATTATATCTAGATTTGACGTCATTCGGGTATAAAATGGCATAATTACTTAGTTTCGAAAAGCTGTGGTCATGGCGTTAAATGTAGAAATAGGGCACTTGGTAACAGACAGAAATTCGTGTGATCGTTAAATTGTGCCGACAAATTGGCAATATTCTTTCAGATACATAAAAAATGATTAAATTAAGAAAGGAAAATTATCCTGCCATCAGGACAATCGTTTTCAGTTAGTACAATCAATTTAAAAACAGCGATTACAAAATCTCCAACAGGAAAGTGTGAGGATGAAAGCGGGACGTTAGTGACGTCAATTGCAAAAAGCTCTGTAAATGGATCGACGGTAAACGGTACGCTTACTGTCCGGCACTTTTATGTTTCAATTGATAAATATTGTTAGTTTACTATATAAAATCATATTGTTTTAACAACGTACGGTGGCATACATGTGAAAATTAATGATATAGATCGCTTTTGCATTAGCATTATAAGTCAATGCCTGTTGTGTTATAAAATGCTTGTATACTCAAAATATTCGTGAACAGTGAAGAATGGCTGTCTATTGGGCATTTTTCTTGGAGATTTGAACGAAATTGTGATCTCTTTCTTTCTCGCTTAATCTCCACTTACGAGACCTGATCATGGTCACATTTTAAAATGTTACAGAATTGTTATTTGTTAACATTTTGTATTATTATTTTCACTGTAAATAGTGAACATCTTCCGATATTTGTTTCTGGTAAAATTATGTACGTAAATTACAAATTGTGAACAGTAGAGCTGCAATCCTATTACTTTTTGAACAACCCTTGTATTTGATGCACTAAAGTATGTTTAATCGAAACTAACTAAACAGTGACACGTGTTTATAATCCTTTCACAGGGGGATAATAAAAATTAAACTATACGCATTAATGTTAATTTCCATGTTACTTAGTTGAAATAAGAATAACTGGACTGGGAACAAATTCACAATTACTTATCAACCAGTTTTGTATACACAAATGATATATACTTACTTTTGACTGGAATTGGGTCATAAAAGGTCTCAGCTGGCAATAGAGTTGTGTTTTGAACTGTTTGGAACCACCCGTCTGTAGCATACATCTGTAAAAAAGAATAAAAAAGAAATAAAACCTTTTTTAAAAGATGGGTCATTATTTTAAAAATGACATAAAGATTTGCACTTGCTCTATGTGTTTTAACTCTGAAAGTAAAATATCCTTATTAAGATAGATCTAAAAACAAAATGTCCTTATTAAGATAGAACTATGAATTGCATATGCAAAATAAAAATGCATCCGATAGTATGATATTATTGGTATGCTGGACCACATTCAAAACGGATCACATTTGTAACTTCTTTTACGAATGGGATCACATGAAAATGAAGCACATATGTAACATCAATGTCATATAATCAAATAAGTAACATGTCAATTTCAATATCCAAAATAAAGCAAAAAGTGTCTTTTACTGCTGAATCAAATTTGTAACACATATCCCATTTATACACGTGATTACAAGTATTGTCATTAAATAAATTTGATTAATGGAAATGAAAGCCGTCCGATGCATGGTGGTAATGTATTTCTATAAAGGCCAATATTACCTTCAACCTGTACGTCTGTCTGTCCGACTGACTGTCTGTCTGTCTTTCTGTCTGTCTGTCCGTCTGTCTTGTTATTTATTTGTCTGTTACATACCCTGTTGCCAAACAAATACAACTTTGTGGCAAAAGTTAGTAAACGAATGAGATAATAATGCATTTCACGGTTGATGAATGGTACAAGTAGTAATTGTAATTGTCACCATTTAAAGTAGATAGGACTACAATGGGCAACTTTTCAAGAAGTATTTCAAATATTGATAAAAAAAAGAAATGTTTCATAAAATTCTGCTTGAAAAGACAATGTTCTAAGTGATTTAGAATGACCACGACCATGTATCTGATGTATATTAATTGTTATTATATTAATGCATTTTTGTTATTTTGATATTATATTATCATCTGTTATATAAATATATGTTATAGCAGATATTGTACCCCACACGTGCCAACATACCAATGTACAATTATTTTGTGTTGTGTTATTAACTACGGTTAATACTAAATACTATTTACGTAATTATTCATTGTACATGTGTAGCAGACCTTCCATTATAGACCAATTCACTTCAATAGAGTATTTTTGAAGAGTGGTAGTGATGATGGCAGCGGTATTTTAAAGTATTTGCTCTCGTTATTGTTGATGTTGTTGTCGTCGTTTTATTTGGTACTGTAACTTCTTTTACAGCATCTACATTACTAACCACTATTAATATTTACATATGACTACATACGCTTATTTGAAATAGTAAAAGTTTGTAATTATCTAAAATCCATAATTCTGACATTGTGTGTTAACAAAATAATGATCCTTTTTGAACTTGAAAATGCGTAATTGAAGTTTTGCATACAATATAAATGTTCAAAGCTAGTAAATATATTCGATTCAATCTTAATACATGTCTTTGTATGTTTTAGTCATAGTTGAGGGGTTACTATGCAAGGCCTATAACTCTGACATGGGTTTTGACGAAATTGTTACAAAATACATGGTTAAAATTATGCATGCAACATCACTTTTTAAAGCTACTTAAGGTATTGTCTGCTTTCGCGAAAAGAATACAATAAATCGAAATATATAAATCAGTAAATGTTTCTTTATTTAACATTAAAAAAAAACGTAATCCAACCTGGCCTACTTCCAGTACTTTTCGTCCAACGTTTACTCCACTTCCTTACTGAAAAGGATAAATCTTCAGAAAGAGGTTCTGCATTTTTTTTTATTTTAAAATATGTAGAGTTGGCAAACTCTATTATATCACTATATTTGCAATTCATTCATCGCTTAGTGCTTCTGGTTATATTAACTGACAACTGTTTACCTTTGGGTTATATAACCTCAAAATCGGTATCAATATACATGATGTGCTAGCATACTTACATAAGTACATATGATGAAGTGTTTAAACTTCTCTCGCAAAATTAAAAACAAAATTAACGCGACTTTTCAGAAAATATACAATTCATTCTTGCAAAATAACAATTAAATTACAGCCGATTCAGGGAGAACAAGTCATATGTCTGATACCTTACTTAAAACAGTAATGAAAGGCAAAAATAACACACTTTTAAGAGATTCTACAAAAACAATCGAAGGAGTGACAACATATACCAAAACATTTACGCGACTCAACTTATCAATATGCTAAAGTAGTATGATCACAAAAATGATGCAGATTTAAGTTCAGTGGTGATGTGCTTGTGATAATTACTGATTAAACATTCTCATTGGAGAACGTCGTTTGTTACCTATGTGATTTTTATATCAATCCCTGTTTTAGTTAATCACATCTGGAACACATTTTATCTGTTACAAATGCGATCAAATTTGAAGCACATGTATTTCAAATGTGATCCGTTAGAAATGTGGTCCAATACTACATTAAAGACTCAAACTGCATCGCAAGGAAAAAAAATCATTACATGAAGATACCTCAACACTGATAGATCTGGAACATTCTGGGTAACGATAAGGGTCAGTTGAGTTTTCCTTATATTTCACGTCCCCATTCGACGGGTTGATTTGAAGCCGACGGTCGCTGCCGTCTGTTAAATGAAACGTGATGCTGTTGTATTTACGGTTGCAGTCATAATCGTGCAAAGAGTGCCGTTTACTGGAAAAAAACACAAGTTAAGTTTTGCATGTACATACATGGTGTAATCACCAGCTACTTATTATCAAGTATCAATTTATATAATGTTTAAAATATATCATGATGATGAAGCATACTTCTGTTTTACAGTTTTAAACAACTAATAAAATATTGAATCATTATAAACTAAAGAATATTTATCATTAATGTTCATTTTATTTAATGTTTTATTAGGTAAATGTCACGTGTACCATTTAAGACATTTTCACATTTTACTATTTCATAAAAGCATGTCATGTACCTATAATTAAAAGAGAATTAAGCTAAAAATACATTATGTTCCCCTTTTGCCAATTTAATATTTGGTGACTACTGTTAAAATTTCCGAAAAAGTACTCATTGCCCATATATTTAAGCCATCACTAGCTTCTTTTGCTTTTTTAATGAGAACAGTAAAAGTTATTTAGTATTTTATATGGATGTCAAAATGCCAACATGTTTAAGTTTCGTTACCTTTATCATTACTTCAAATTAAGCACTTCTAAGTGTTCCGATATCAATATACCGCTTGGTCTGTAGCCGAAAAGGGGTATTACAATACTAGGGGTATTACTATACTAAGATGTATTACTTTACTATATACATCGGCGCTAGGGGGCGTGGACACCAGTTTGCACTTGACAGTACCATCTATGAACAGGCTTAATCAAACCGAGCCTGCAACATTTTCAATTTTTCGGTTTGAACGTTCTGTAGGAATTGGTATTTTCTTTATCTTATCGCCACATGAGCGTTGTCTGTGCCGTGTGGAGGCTGTAAAAGGTCGCCTCATAAATTCAATCAGAGATGTTATATTTCCAATCCTCATAGATCGCTCGGCACGGCATTATTTTTGTGATTATGATATTTTCAGTTTAAACTATTTGACCGTTTTCTAGTTGTGTGGTTCTAATATTCCTACTTGAAAAATGTTCAATCAAACCGAGCCTGCAACATTTGGAATTTTGTCGTTTTGGTCTGTCTGTAGGGATTCTAATTTTCTCTATTTTGTAGAAAAAATACACATAATTCTTAATCTAAATTATCAAACACGCGGTAGGACATTTATTTTTTACTGACTTAACCACGCACATAATCCTGAAGTATAGGCAAATTTTAAGTACTAGACCTGTTAGATTTGAAAGTTTAGACCGGAACCAAGTCAAGGACGTATATAGACAAAACATGTTTTCAAAGTTATTATTTGGGGCACATTGAATCACACGTATCACTATGTTGAGAAATATACATTTGCGACCAAAAAAAGAAGAAATATTAAATAAAATCAGGTAAAAATATGCCACAGTCAAACTAAACAAGCTCCTAAATAACGATACGGAATGTGAGTAGTGCGATGATTTCTGTATATGGTATTGCAAGAAAATAAGATTCCTTAACATTATTTCTACATAAAATTATAAGTCTAATCCAGTGATTCCGTGTTTATTAACTTGTTTTTCGTATAAAGAGTGTATTTTAGTGTATTGTGGTGTGTTTGGTCCTTTTTTTTAACATAATAGAAATACTTGACTTATCCTTGATGTTGACTTATCCTTGATGTTTAATACTTACATAACTGGAATCCATCTATTTGAATTGAATATAATGTGCCTTTTATTGTATAACTCAAATATGGGTCTTTGATTGTTGATGTCCTGAAAAAATTAAAATGGGATTCAAAATATTTCAATTCTAAATACACTTAACATATGACATAATTCACAAATGTTTCAAAGTCTTAGGGATTACATCATCATACTTATAGCTGTGTAACTGTTTCGTGTGTCTTGTGCTGTTATTTTTGTTTTGTTTTGTATTAAATTTGTTTTTAATACAAATTATTATCAAACGAAAATTTTAAAGCATTTTGTAGTAGTTTTCATTTTCTTTGTTTGCAGACACGCGTATCATAACAGTTACAAATGGGTGTTTTTTTATTAAAATATAAAGATTCTTTATGATATTGTACGTTTGTAACATCGCTTTACATTGGATTATCGTGACGTTTATATCATTAGTTATAAAGATAGTTGACAGGTTATAATGCCCTATATAAACGGCTGTTTGTAAATATAACCCGAGCCAGTAGGCGAGGGTTATATTGCAAACAGCCGTTAATATACGGCCATATAACCTGTCGATGATCTTTATAACGAATTTATTATACAGCAAGCATCATTTTTAGAGCAAAAAAGTAAGATTTCTTCATGAATCGACAGCAGCCGTGTATATAAAACTACATAAACGTCATCATTATCCAATGAAAAATGACGTTACAAACATGCAGTTTTATAAAGATTTATACACAAACGGCTGCCTAGGGGCCCGAGTTATATTTCCAAACAACCGTTTATATTATGCCATATAACCTGTCAAACATCTTTATAACTTATAATATTTGCGTGAATCGGAATCCGACAGAAGTTATGAACTCAGAGGATTATGATATTTCAATGTAAAAGAGAAAACTGATATATTTGTATTGATGTCACTAAGAAATAAGATGAAATCTTAGTCCAAGTTAATTAAATATCTTTCGTTGTCATCATTTTGTGTTCCCAAAATGACCATGTATGAGAGCCGATATATTGACACAAACTTGAAAAATAAAAAAATCTGATAAATAAAAATAATAAATAAGCCAATTTTTAATCGATTCGTCAGAAAACATATGAAATTGACAAAATATGTTGACACCACAGGTCAAATACATACCTCGTATATCCTCGTATATGTATTATCGTCATATATGTATGATATAAGGATTAATAACATACCTCTATATGTATTGTTATCGTCATATATGGATGCCTGGCATTTGGAATGTACGGCACGACATTTTCAGCTATAACATTAAAACTGAAAGTCTGATTTGTACATTGTTGGTCGATATGAGGCAGCTTTAGCATGCTCAGAACACCAGTTGTGTTGTCTAAGCCAACAACCTCATTTGCATCATCTTGTAGTCGATAATGTACATTTTTATTCTGGTTGCTCTTGTCTAAGTCTGTCGCCTATTGAAAATAAAAAGAATAAAGTATAAAGTAACAATGGAGTAAAACTGTCTAGGTCTAGAAGTAATTTTTTTAAAACGGTTGCTTAACAGTTTTTAAGAATGATAAGATCATTAAATGAAATTTTAATTAGTTTTTACATTTATTTTAGTTCAACTGTGTTAGAAGCTTTAAGCTTATTGAAACACACTCTCGAAACTGTTCCTGGGACCAACTAGTACACACAATGAATGTAAAGTTTCTTGCTCAAGGAAACAATGGATTGCCCTTGACATGGTTTGAACCAGGAAGTCAGTTATCATAGATTTCTAGCCCGACGTGTAAACCACTCGGCCACGCCACCATTTCATTTTCACTTTTTCTATATAATTATGTTACAATTCTTTCATTACAGCTAACCATTGTAAAGATATGAATTATGTAATATTTTTAAAGAGTTTTAAAAATGATTGCTTTGTAAGGACTTCAGATACTGCAAAATTGTTTATAACATATAAGATAAACATATCAGTTTTGAAAACTAAATTGTACTAAACATCACATGCTATTTTGATACAATATAATTCGAATCAGTCGCTTAAACAGATATTTGAATAGGGAACTGTCCAGTTATTCGTTAGATAAAATAAGCAAACCTGCACTTTGTAGATATGTGTGAGATATTCTAATGGTGTGTCTTCAAGGACTGTAAATTTGAATTCTGTTTCTAGTAATATTGGACGATTATCATTTATATCTTCAACGTTAATTTTCACGAATGTTTGGTTCATTAAAGCAGGTGTTCCTTTGTCTTTTGCAATAACAAAGAATGAAATATATCCTGTATCAGGAATCTGTTCCCGATCAATTCCTGTTGTAGATATAATACCAGACTCTCCATCTATACAAATATTCATTTTCCTGAAACTAATTAAGCATGTTTTCAAAAGTATATCTTATAGTAACTAAATGTTTATGATAGACGATACCTTACAGAAAAGAAAAAAAGTGGAAAAAGATCTCTCCTCAATGATATAAAGATGTGTTTTCCTAGACATCTTCTATACAGCGATACTATTAAGCTGGAAATTGTGCTGTCATTCGTTTCAATTAAAATTTAAGTGTAAAACGATATAGTAAAAAACACAAATACTTTAAGAAAATCAAACTTTAGAAAAAGTACCGAGATTTAAGAAAATTAACGATTCAAGATTGAAGTAATAATTAATACGTTTTGTGCGAGTAATGACTGATTTTTCAGTAGTCACTGCTATTTTTCTACTCCATGACAGAAAGGGCTACCTTTGCACATTTTGACCTCCTTTCGGTATTCTTAGGTGGATTTTAAGTGCCGCTTGCAATGTGTTAACTTCTTTTTCTGTTCACTTCACAATACTTTTCTTCTTATTACATTTTGATTATTTTTTATGAAAGTAAGCATCAATTTAGAGGCGTGCTGCATTAATATATTTTATAGTAAGATAAAGTCTTATCTCATTGTTGCTAACCTTGTTTATTCATGCCCAATTACTCCATATCTGAACATTTCGGCGGATATGGGATACCATACTAATAAAACTACAATGTATCTGTATTCATGGAACT